TTGGACAGCTACAAGGCCACATTGCCAGCCGCATCGAGGACATTCGGAAAGAAATGGCAGCGCTGAAAACAAGTACCACACCGAGATCTACTGGGGCATCTTCGGCGACAGGGGCACATACCATATCAACACTCATACTTGGAGGGCTACTGCACGATACGCTCGCCGATGCGGAAAAATGGGTATCTAAAGTTTTGGAAGACGCTGGATGCACAAGCCCTTCGAAGAGCAATAAAAAAGGCCGCGCTGAAGAAGGTTTCAAGGGCATGCTATTCGTCGAACTGTCGTCTCCAGAACTATCCCAACACATATTGCCGATTCTTCAGGAAGCGTGTGGACGACAACACCCAAGGCAAGGATCTCGGCGGGTATGGTGCAACGTGGACGCTCCGATTGAGGAGAGGACTACCACTTTATTGTTATTAGGCCTTCGCTATCTTCTAACGCAATGGGGCTTCAACAAAAAGTACGTCAGGGTCGACAGGGACGCTGGCGTCCTCAAAGCTGAAGAAAACAGATACTCAAAGTGTACGTTATCAACTACAAGCTAAACTTGGAATGGTTAGATCCCGAATGGGAGACATGGGAAGATCTTCAAACATTTCAAGACTGGCAAAAATTGCAAAAGAAAGCTTCGGATCGTTTGGAGGCGAGCGCAGCCAACGCGGCCAAAGGGGCCGGCAAAGGGAAAGACAAGAATTGAAGGTGCCAAGGGCGCCGGGCTGTTTCACTTTCGGGGTCCGCTGACCCTGGCACTTCTCCACACTGGATTTCCCCCACGGGCAGAATAGGCAAAGAGACCATCTGTCCTGCTGGGCCGCATCCTCATGAACACAATTCTGGACTACTGTGCGCCACATGGAAACATACCAAATATATATATATATATATATATGTTCTATGCGTGCAAGAAACACGGAAAACAAAAGCACAGGCCCACGAAGATGAGACCACCGGCAGCCGCATCAGTCTTTCTGGAGGAGATATAGATGCAGCATCATGGTCTGGAGTTGGCTTCATCATCTCTCCCAATCACGTGCCTCTTCCTCTTGTACGATCTTGTAAGCAAATGTCGGAAAAAGATCATACAATTGAAAATCAAAATTGGATCTCGTATATTCGGAATCTTCGGCGTGTATGCGCCCCACAACTGGAAGCCCTTGCCGGAGAGACACATATTTCGGAATACTCTGGACGCCGAGTTCCAAACGTGCTCCACCACAGCAGGAAAGCTTATCATGGGGGACGCGAATGCACGAGTTGAGCATGCAGACGCCGGGGAATCGACGACAACAGGGCCATTCACTTGGGGCAGGCGGGCCTTACATCAAGTCGAAGTTCCCAATCGGGATTTGCTCATGGAGTTTTACTTTGGCCTCGAACTCAGATTGGAAAATACATATTTTGAACCGCCTCTGCAAGACGCGGTTACCTTCATGAAAGGGGGCGCCAAACCACAGGGGCTTATTACGGAGGACAAATACAACATTCTGGATTACATCATGTGCGATGCTTCCACCGTGGCTCAAATACGGAGATGAAAAACACATCGTGAAGCAACACTGGCCACGGACCACTACCTGATGACTGTAGACATTCAGCACGCTCAGCATTACGATTCATTGCCGCACAAGCCCCCTAGAGAGAGAGATCTGCTTCGAGACCCCGCAAAGCAATCAATGTACGCAGAAACATTTCTGGACGAGATTGTTGGCCACGCGATTCCCCGGAACGTGGACGCTATGTGGGAGCAGGGTGCACATGCAGCGCTAACAGCCGCTACTGTCATACCACGGCGCCCAGAAGATGTTAAACTAAACAACCATGGGTATCGCAACGTACATTGGCACTGACACATCAAGGAAGCGAAGCTCGTGCCAGCAACAACCGTCAAGAAGAGCGACGTTTGCTGAAAGCAGTAAGCGATCTTGCAAAATCGATAAGACAGAGTGAATGGACTCAAACATAGCATCGGGGCGCTTGGACGATATTCGGAGATTCTGCAGACCACGACAACATAAGCTGGGCAGGCTTCAAAACTTACAGGGGCAACTGGTTGCAAGCCATGAGCGCGCAGATACCATGGCAACCTATTTGGAACAAATGCAATGGAAAGTACGGCCAACAAATTTGGTTGACACCGAGGCCTTGGGACCGCCACTTCCCGTCGACGAGCCGGCTTTCACCGTGCAAGAAGTGAGAAAAGCAGTACGGAAACTCAAATGGGGAAAGGGAGCAGGACCGGACGACATTCCCGCAGAGTATTGGAAAGCCATATCACAAACACCTGGCGGGCTAAAATGGGTTACAGAATCATGCACTTCAACATGGGCGGAGCACAGAGTTCCCTAAGCTTGGCGGCATGCCACTGTGAGCACAATCTACAAGAATAAGGACCCTATCCACATGTGCGAAAATTGCAGGCCAATCAATTTACCAGGCGTGGCGTACAAACTCCTAGCGGGCCTCCTGTTACAACGTCTACGACAGGCAGGGGCAGAAGACTGGCTGACCCAAACTCAATGCGGGTTCCGCCGTGGGCGTGGTACAACAGACGCCGTTCACGCAGTACGCCGTCACATCGAGCTCGCACACTCCAGGAAAGATGGGGGCACTGCATTTGTTGCCCTGGACTGGAAAAAAGCATGTGATTCCATAAACGTCGAAGCATTGTTGACAGATCTGCGCCGCTTTGGGGTATCCCTGAACATGCTCACGCTGATCGGGAATACTTATGAGGCCAGGCGATTTTGCGTAGCCGACGGGGCGATCAAATCTTCTGAAAGAAAGCAAATGTCTGGAATATCACGGGGGTATCCGTTGTCGCCATTTCTTTTCGTCATGTTCATGACTGTGGTCTTGCGAGACGCCGTGAACAACCTGAGCGACAATGACCAGATCGATATGGTTTCTGGAAGTATTTCGGTGCTGCTGTATGCCGACGACGCGCTGTTCATCGGAAGAAGCCAAACCAGCTTACAGCACCTCTTAGACAACATCGCATTGGCGGTGACGCGGGTTGGAATGGAGCTGCACTGGGACATAATCCAGATGACCAAAACAAACAACGACGTGACGTTGAGGACGCCGGCTGGATAACTCATTGCCGAAACAAGTATGGCATACTTGGGTGCTACTTTGTACAATAGTGGGCAGTTGGGCACCGAGCTAAGCAAATTACTCACTGCGTGGAGCTCCCCATATGTGCGTGTCATGTTTTATCTTATGCCGTAGTGGGCGTCTGTTCATGAGTGTCTGACTATAAGAGCGCGCCCAAAGACAAGTGAATCCTCATGCCAGCGAGTGAGTACGAGTCATAATGAGGAATATGATTCAATATGAGCCTCTCACTCCTCACTCCTCCTCCTCTGCTGCCAGGCCGTGCCGCTTTGGGGGCTGCCCGATCGCCCTCCCAGGCTGGAGCACCCCCTCCAGACGGACGAACGGATGAACAGACAGACAGACGAGACAGGACCGCAATCCCAAAAGGAGCACCGGCGCGTGAGAAAACCGCCCGCCCCACCAGAGCGCGAGGGCACGTGCCGGAGCGGATGCTGAAACCAGCGCCCCACCTGAGACATCCTCACAATCTGCTCTCCAAGCGAAGGATGTTGAGCAAACGAGCAAACCGCCGGAGACATCCCCACAAAATGGCCGCGAACGGGCCCGTGCAAACACCCCTGGCGGCTCCCCTTAGAGGTGCTGAAACCAGCGCCCCGCCTGAGACATCCTCACAATCTGCTCTGAAAGCAGAAGATGTTGAGCATGAAAACAAGCAAACCGCTTGAGACATCCCCACAAAATAGCCGCGAACGGGCCCGTGCAAACACCCCTGGCGGCTCCCCTTAGGGGTGCTGCGCCTCAGACATCCTCACAATCTGCTCTCCAAGCGAAGGATGTTGATCATGAGAACAAGCAAACCGCTTGAGACAACCCCACAAAATGGCCGCGAACGGGCCCGTGCAAATACCCCTGGTGGCTCCCCTTATGGGTGCTGAAACCAGCGCCCCGCCTGAGACATCCTCCGAATCTGATGTGTGTTGAGCGAATCAGACTAAGAGAAGGTCTGAGTATGCGAAGGTCTGAGTATGCGTAAGTATGTGTATGAGTACGTCTGGGTATGAATAAGTCTGAGTATGAATAAGTCTGTGTATGAGAAAGTCTGTGTATGAGTCAGTCTGAGTATGACTAGGTCTGAGTATAAATGAGTCTGAGTAAGAGTAAGTCTGTGCATGAATAAGTTTGAGGAGGAAGAGAGGAAGGAGGAGGAGGGAGGAGAGGAGGGGTTCTGGTTCTGGTTGGAGTCGGCACCGTCCAAGTAATAACAAAGAGCCCCATCTTAGGACATGGGGAACAAATAAGGGCAGCTTGGGCCGAATGTTCTAAATATGACAGAGCATGGAAACACACTGCTTTGAGCAAGCGGCGAAAACTGGAAGTATTCCAAGCACTGGTCACATCCAAAATCATGTATTCATTGAACAAGGCGTGGTTAAGCAAAGCAAAAAGGAGAAGCCTGGATGGATTTCAAGCAAGATGCCTGCGAATAATACTACACATACCTCCCGCCGTTCTTACGCGAGTACCGAATAGCAAAGTTCTGGAACAAGCTGGTCAAAAGCAGTACAGCGCGCAACTTCTTCAACAACAAATATTACTATTTGGCAACATTGGCCGGGCGCCAGATACGGACTTTCTTCGGCAACTCACGTTTCAGCCCGGCACAGTTCTCTCAGCTGTGGATGCGTATCAAAGGAGGAGAGGCAGACCCGAACAACAGTGGGCGAAATGCCTACACAAAGCTTTGGTTGCCCATCTTGGCCCGGAACATACTTGGGAGCAGCGCTTGCAGGATCCAATCGAGTGGCGCAGTATTGCTGAACACATTGCACACCATGACGATGAACCCGATCACCAGTAGCATTATGTAGTTTTTTGATTACATACGTTGCATGTGATGCCCAGTGCCTTGGCGTCCTATCTGCATTGTCTTCCTCCCTCCCTCCTTCCCTGCCGCGCACATTGTGATTCTTGCGACCGCCGTCGTGCCGCCGCTCCCGCAAAGCGGTGAGAATAGGCTCGCCCTGTCGTCTTTCGCCCACGCGCTCCGGCGTATGGCATGAGTGAGTGAGTGAGCTGTCCTCCTACAGGGGGATTTTGGGCGAAAACTTAGAATTATTCGAAAATGCACCCAAATAGTCAAACCATACTCAGAAAATCGTCCACAGGCTATTCTAACTATTTTTGAACATTCCTCCTGTAGAGGGACAAGCCCGACTTAATCCTGGGTGCAGTCAACCCGCACAGCAAGGATGAGCAACCTTCCCAAGGGTAGCCTCGCATCCTTGCCTCCTCGACCCATCCTTGGCCGCCCTCGCTGGCCGCGCCCAACTCGAAGAGTTTCGGCGCGGCCTCCCAAGGCCCTTGCACCCTCGTCGTGCGTCCTTCTGATACGGGCCGACAGTACCGGGTCGACACTTCCTGGGGGTGGCCTGCTGCAGGACTGAACTTAAACGGTGCTTGTTGCTGTCGTTGTGTTTTCGTGTTCCCTCGCTTCTGTCTCGAATCCGCCTCTACCGCAAAACGAAGTCGAAACGAAAACGGCCTACGAGATCACCAGAAACACCGTTCAGGCCCGGCCCTGTCCTGCGATGGGCAGCTGGCAGCGTCGAGGGTCTGCCCTCTGTGGCAACGCTGGGGGCCTGCCCCTCCCTCGGCAGGCGGGGCGAAGCAGCATGGGGGGCGCGGGCGACGGGCCGTGCACGGGCAAGGCGAGACGCCGTCGAGCGGGAGCGACAGGACGAGGGTGCCGCGCCGACAGGTCGACGGCGAGAGGGGCGACGAGAGCAGCCCGCGCAGACCCAGGAGCCAAGCAGACATGCCCTCTCGGGTCTTTCGGTTGGGGAGCCTCTCCACAATCTACTTGGACCATCTCGGGGTGCTTTCGGGGCCATTGGACGTTGGAACGCCTTTGGGGCTCTTCCGGGACCCTCTCAAGGGGGCCATTTGGGGGACCGTGAGGGTTGCTGGGGGAGAGGCGAGCAGGGAGAAGGGTGGTGTAAAGGGAGGACGGGAAAGTAGGAAGCTGGGGAGGCGGAGCGGTGGGGGGCGGAGGGTGGAGGAGGGAGGGGAGGTGAGGAAGACGGAACGGGATACGGGGAGGCGAGGGGGCAGGAGTGAGAGGACGAGGAAGGCGGAGGAGGCGGGCACGGGAGAAGGGTGGGATGGGGGATGGCGAAGAGCGAGGGGGGAGAAGGGAGGATCGAGGGCGTTGAGGCACGAGGGAGGAGGAGGGGGAGGCGGAGGAGGAGGAGATAGGCGAAGGAAGGCTGATGAGGAGAGAAGGAGAGTCAGAGGGAGAGAGAGGAGGAGATCGTCCTGAGACACGCCCGCCTAGTCATCCAGCAGTGAAGAGGGGCAGGCGAGGAGATCGCCCTGAGGCCCGCCCGCCTGGTCATCGAACTGAGAACGAGCAGGTGGCAACACCCTTGGACAAACTGGAGGACCCAAGAGGTACAACAAACAAAAACGACAGAACACTTCGCGAACATCAACCCTCTATGGATGAATGACACGAGTCCTGAGGCGATCCCGGTCCTGGACCCCGGGGCCCAGGACCTGCCTGCTCTTGACCCCGAGTCGTTACCTGAAGGCCATGGGGCCTGGGCAGGCCTATCATCGCGAGACCCTCCGTCGCTGCTGACTCGACCGGCGAGCACGCCGACGCGCCGACAACGACGACGGCCTGCCAGCGGCACGGCGGCACAACGCCGCCAGGCCAAGCGACGACTGGCGGGCGGCCCCGGGCGCGCCCCCTCAGGACAGGGCGTTCAGGACCCGCGCGGCTTGCCGCTGCAACTGCCCGCCCGTCGGCCGCCCGGCCCGCCGCTCCCCCGGTGCCTTCGGCCTGGCATGCTGCCCCAGGAACCGACCAGACCTCACTGGGGGAGCCGTGGTCCGCCTGGGTGATCCCACCGCATCGCCGATCCCTCGAGAGGGGTGTGGAAATCGATGGGTCCCCCAGGGGGGCGAGGACCTCAGCTCCCCCAGGTGTGGCTGGCCCGAGGAAGCCGTGCTGGGCCTCCAGAGGCCTCATGGGGACCTTCGGAGGCCCCCGCCTCCCGCTCCCTTTCCTGCTCTCAATGGGCCCCGAAAACAGCAGGGCCGTTTGCCGCCGTTTCCGGAAAAAAATGCCCCTCGAACATAAAACAAACAAACACACGGCGACCGGAAGCGGCAAAAAAAACGGCTGCAGGATCGGAGCCGGAGCTGGAATCGGAAAATCAACGGCGACGGAACCGGCAAAACAACAGCGGCGGAACCGGCCAGAAAGCAGCGGAAGGACACGGGTAAAAAAAACGGCCCCGTCGTTTCCAGGGCCCACTAATCGGGGGCGCGCAAACATGGACTACCGATCCACGGATTTGGCGCGCGGTCGCCAAATCCATGGATCGGGGGAGGTGCCCTCCCCAGAACGCGGCCTGTGCCGCCTCGCTTGGCGGCGGAAATCCGCGATTTCCAACGGAAGCGAGACCCGTCGCTAATCCACACCCGCTTGATCCATGTTTGCGATCGCCTGACGTCCTCTCCTCTTCCAGAATCCTCTTCCACTCCGGGAGGTCCTCCTCCTCCTCCTCCTCCTCCTCCTCCTCCAGCTCCTCTTCCTCCTCATCCTCCTCCACGTCTTCCTCCTGCTCCTCCTGCTCCTCCTGCTCCTCCTCTTCCTCCTCCTTCTCCTCCTCATCCCATCGCGACCCTCATGCTCCCCCACCGCGATCCTCCTCATCTCCCACCCCCTACCGCCAGGCGAGGAGGGCACTCGGATCTGCCTCCTCCTCCTCCTCCTCCTCCTCCTCCGCTTCCTGCTCGGAGGCCCCCCCCGCGCACCGCAGCAGGAACCGCAGCGCGCAGGAGGCGCAGACTGCAGCGCCAGAGCAACATCCAACGGCTAAGCACTTTGGATGCTCACTCTGGGGACCAGCCCGGAGGCACTCGCTCCACTCGTGCGTCGAAGCTGCGTCGAACGTCCGGCGACTCGTGTCGAACCTGAGTCGAACCTGAGCCGTCCTTGAATCGAACTTGAGCCGCACTGGAGTCGAATAGATCCGATAGGTGGGCCCCAGGAAGGCCCTCACAAGGAGCACCAAAAACACTGATCTCGGGTCGTTCGTTGCAGGGGGGCGCGTTGGGTTGGCAGTCAGCGACGCGCCCTGGCCCCTCGTCGGTGCAGGCGGGATGCAGGAGCGGCGAGGGCCCGAGAAACGGACGAGGCGAGGCCAGAGGAGGAGGAGGAGGAGGAGGAGGAGGAGGAGGAGGAGGTGGAGGAGGAGGAGGAGGAGGAGGAGGAGGAGGAGGAGGAGGAGGAGGAGGAGAGAGGAGGAGACGAGGAGGCGATCAAAGTAACACCTGTGACATCCCTGCATCTCTCCGAGTCGCTGCCGCCACCTTTGGGAGTTCCTGAGCTTCAGCCTCGGGAGGCAGACAACGCAGAGCAGAAGACAAGCACTGCAGCGCAACGCAGCTTGCAACGCAGAGGACACAAAAACGCGGTTCTGTGGTCGCAGCCCACGCTTTGACTTCGAGAACTCACTGAACCTCCCGAGATCGCTCCCACCACCCACGCGGGACTCCAAGCCAAAGCTCGAGGAAGGAAACAGCACAATGCAAGTCGCAAGGACATGTCAGCTCAGGATAGCGAGCCAAAGAAGGGCACTTGCGCTGCGGATGCTTGACGTCCCGCGCAGAGCCACACTGCCAAGAGGCTGCTCACCAGGCGCTCGGCCCCACGGCCAAAGTGGCATGGGCGCGCCCTGGTAACAAGGACGACAACGACCTTGCAGACCAAGAGGGAACCGACAGTCCCCTCAGCGCACTCCTCCTGACAACAACATCAAAACTCGCTTGAGTCGTTGCTGTGCCCCCCCCCCCGCTATCGACCTCTTCTCGGCTCCGCCTTACGCTTGGCCTCGTCCTGGGAATGATGCCCCGCCTCCTTCCAGGAAACCGATGGCCCCAGGCATGTTCGTCGGTGTGATATAGCACACTAAGGTCAAGCTGCGGCGTCAACAAGGAACGTCAACTCCACCCAGAGAGCGACGGAATGATAAGCAGTCGGTGAGCAGGCAGGTGCCCGTTGTGCCGCTACGCTGGCATGTGCACTGATACCACGTCGCGGGGGGGGGGGGGGGGGGGCGGCCTCAACACACGACAGCTGGCAGTGAATTAAGAAAATGACCGACCACGCAGGTAAGCAAATCGTGCCATCCCTGTCCGTTCGGTCTACCATCTGTGATCTAATGCCCCCGTGTCGCCATGCTGTATGGAGAGTCCAACATTTGCAGCAGCCTCCGACCTTGGGCGGGGAATAGGTGCATTCAGAAGAGCATGTGTTGTAGGAGCACTGAATGCGGGAGTAGTCAGGAATAGAGCTTGGAGTGAACAGTGGAGATGCAGTGTAAGTACGAGTTGAATGGGAGCTTAATCAAGAGTGGAGGCAGGCGCAGTCGACGTACGAGTACGAGTACGATGAGAATGAGTAAAGGCACACGCATAGCATGATGGCCGCACTAACTGTTATCACTATCCTCCTCACACTCTTCCTCTGCTCCTGATGTATCCCCCTGCCCCCCCGCACGCACACACACATACACACACACACACTCGCACATACACACACGCGCACACTCACACGTACACACACACACACACTCAAGCTCCACATAATCTTCCTCCTATCCATCCATCTCCTCCTTCTCCTCCTGCGTCCTCCTTCTTCCACGTCTTTCGTTCCCCCTCCTCCTCCTCCTCCTCCCCATCCGCTTCACCTCCTCCTCCTCCTCCTCCGCCTCCTCCTCCTCCTCCACCTCCTCTTCCCCACTCTCCTGCTCCGGACCCCTAGAAGTCCCAGGAGGTCCCCTCAGGCCCCACTTCCGAGGCATCTGCAGGCCTCTGAAGAAATAAACAACACAGAAGCGTCAACCCGCGATCAAGAATTCCTTTTTGCAGCGTCAGGGGCCCCCACACACCAAGAGACGGCGAAGCTGGTCACTACCAGCTTCCCAAGTGACGGGATGAGCCTTGACTCCACCCTGGCGATGGAGGCCAGTGGCGACGGGCGAGAGCTATCCCACGTGAGGGGAGGAGCTATCCACTGGCGACGGAGGCCAGTGGGGGCGGGGAAGAGGGAGGAGGAGAAAGAGGCAGCTTGTGTGTGCCCTGGGCGGCCCCCTGGGCGGCTCTGCCAGCTCTGTCGCGGCGCAGGGAAGAGGGGGAGATGGGTGGGCGCGCCGCCCGCGATGCGAGTTGTCCTACCTATGGTTCGCCGATGTCCAAAACTGGCCTACCACTCTAGGTGCGCGCGCCGCTCGCCGCTGCGCGTGGTGCTCCCGCCCGCGGGGAGAGCGCTGGGAGCAATCCCTAGGAATCCGATGAAGAATGCATCGGAATCACTAGGAATCCTTGAGAATGGAACCCCGAGGAATAGTCAACTACATGAGCATAGACGTTCGGAGGTCCGGGCGGACCTCTGTGATCTGCACCCAGGTCCCCCCCTGGCGGCGCCTCCGGCGCCGCCCCTGGCGCGGCGCCGATCCAAAATGCAGCTGCGCGGAGATCCAGCGGGTTCCTGTGTAAGCCGCGCGGCCTCCTTCTGCGAGCGGGGGAGCCCAAAGCTCGGCGGCGCTCAGCGGCGTCCCCGACTCCCCGAGCCCGCCGACTGGCAAGGCAAGGCAGGGGGGGTCGCGGGCTCGGGGCCGCCCTCGGCCCCTAGTGCTCCCGCTGCCTCGCACCGATGCTCTCCAGACATCCCGAGGGGCGCGCGTGCCAGCCGTGGCGGCGCGTGCCTCCCGGGAGGCCCCGAGAACGCGAAGGCGGGGGAAGGCGGCAGCGTCTGGGACACCAAACTGCGCGCACCGCGCCCGCGAGAGGCGCGGCACGCGTTGGAGAACCTCCGCGCCTTACCGCCGCCCCCCCTTGTAGAAAGGGCAAGCGAGGAGACCCAGGGTATAGGTACCTCTTCGCCCACTGGCATGTTGAGAAGGGCTGGGGGGTCAGGTCTGCAGAACACCCCAAACGGGCGTCAAGGGGCGCAACCTACCTGTTCGGTGAAGCTGAACCTTGCACCACACCCAGCGTCGAGCCAAAACTGTGTACATCAGCGAATGGTTGATGTTGCACACCTTCGTCGGCCTAACGAGCGCTGCGTCTGACCGCCTTGACGTTCCTCCTTTGGTCGTTGACGCTCTCTGACCCTCGGCCCTACTCAAGGTATAGACACCCCTTCGCCCACTGACATGCTAGCAGGGCTGGGTGGAGGGCGGGGCGGGGGGCCGCACAGCTGGTAGATCCTCGCCCTCTGCGACTGCAGCGACGCCAGGTTCCCTTCGGGGGCATGGCACGACGGCCCCGCCGCACGCCACCGTCTCCGCCTCGCTCCCCCATGTATCCCTCCGCCTCCTCCTTCTCCTCCTTCTCCTCCTTCTCCTCCTCCTCCACCTCCTCCTCACCCTCCTCCTCCTGCTCCTCCTCCTTCTCCTCCTCCTCCTCCTCCTCCTCCTCCTCCTCGTCCCCTCTCCCTCCTCCTCTCCCTCCTCCCCTCCGACTCCTCCTCGACTCCTCCTCCTCCTCCTCCTTCCTCCTCCTTCCCTCCTCTCCTCCTCCTCCTCCCTCCTCCTCTCCTCCTCCTCCTCGCCTCCTACTCCTACTCCTCCTCCTCCCCCTTTCACATCCTCCCCCTCCTCCTCCTCCTATTCCTCCTCCTCCTCCTCCTCCTCCTCCTCCTCCTCCTCCTCCTCCTCGCATCCTCCTCCTCCTCCCCTCCGTAGCCATTTTGGCTCAAGACTAAATGCTTGGGAGGCTGTCCGCCTCCAGGCCTACACGGATACCGCTGTCACCGCGGCCAGACGATACAAGCTTTCTGTCCGACGGCTGGTCCGCCCCAGCCGATCGGCTGCCTCCTGCGGCCCCGCAGGTGAGCAGGTGCTCTCGCGGCCCCAAGACGTCGCTGCAATGGGGCCGCGCGAGGAGGCCGCGTGCAGGTGGTATTGCAAGAGTTGCAAGAATGATCGCACGGGCAAGCAGTGGTGGAACATGGCGCATGCGAAAAAGTGTGTGCTGTGCGGCTTGGCGAAAGGAGTCACGTTCGGGGGCAACGCTCTGCCCTCGGAGCCTTCAGTCCGCGCTAAGCCCAAGATGCCGCCGTGGAAGTACCAGTCAGCTGAGGCTGCAGGGCAGGCAAAGATTCGTGAGTTCGAGGCGAAGATCAAGGAGCTTCAGGCTGAGGCGAAGCGTGGGCTCTTCTCGTCTGGGGACCCCATACAAGTCGACGCTGGCGAGAAGGATGATGAGGCGGACATGCGCAAGAGGCTCAAGGAGATTGGTGAGCAGCTGGCGTTTGTGCCCAAGTACAGCAGTGAGTCGAAGGCGGGCGCATATGTGGAGTCGTTGCGGGCTGAGAAGGAGAGGTTGCACAGTAAGCTTCAGGAGTCTCGCCCTATGTATGCGAAGTTGCAGACCATGTCTAATCGACTCAAGACGGCGGAGAAGCGGGAGGAAGCTTCGAGAGAGTTGGTGGCAGCGAGGAAACTTCAACTCGGTGAGATGCAGAAGAGTCTGGAGCAGGCTGAGAAGGATCCCACGGAGCAGGAGAAAGAGGTGGCGTCGCTCAGTGCGCAGGTGCAGGAGCTCACGAAGCAGGCGCCGATGGCTCCTGAGTCGGCATCGCTCGACGAGAAGGGCAAGGGCATGGCCATGGATGTTGGCGCCTTGGGCAAGATGCTTGAGGCGCAGGGCATCGGCTCCGAGCAGGCGGCGGGCCTGGCGCAGGTGCTGGCGGACAGTATGGGCACGCTCTGGGTCAAGCAAAGAGGCTGATGAGTCGCTCCAAGCTCCTCGCACGCCGAATGGAGGAGCAGGCGTCCCCTCGTCTGGCACGCCGAGTACTGAGGCAGGGGGCGGAGCTGCCGCAGCTGCAGCAGCAGGGGGCGCCCAGCCCAAGTCTTTGGACCAGGTCATTGCAGATGCCAAGGAGGAGGAGCTGCGTGCATCGTTGGAGGCGTTTTACCCATCCGATTTGGCTGAGCATGTTCCCAAAGACCTTGAGGGGCTTCGGGCTGCTGCTGCTCGTCTGGCGGCGATGCCTCTCTTCAATCAAAGTGGACAGCGGCTTGCAGTCGTGCATGCACCTTATTGAGATGCCGCGTAATGGTATTCCCTTGCATGCTTTGCCGCAGCAGCAGGTTGTGGCAGACTCCTGTCTGGACGGTGATGATTGCCAATCGGATTTTCAAGGGTTCGACGACGTTGGCTTCGACCAGGACGAGTTCTTCGGTATCACAAGGAGTTCGACGGCGGTGGCTACCTCTCTGTCGGCCACGAGGGCGTCTACTGGAGGCAGCACTGCTCTGGCGACTGGTCGGCAGTCTAATATTGATCTCAGGTTGAAGGGAGTGGTCACATCTGCCAATGTGGAGGGTGCTGGACCTTTCAAAATGTTCATGGAGACGTGCAGGTCCAAGATTGTGGTGATTCAGGAGCATCGCACTTTAGCCAAGCATCTTCCACCTTTGCAGTCTCATATTCGAGATCTCGGTTTCCATGGCTTCTTTGGTGGCGCTGTGGAAACAGAGGCTGCTGGGCGATCAGGTGGAGTCGCCATCCTGGCTCCGACGCACATCGTGGTGAAGGCGCCTCCGGAGCTCCCCGAGCATGAGCTGGAGCCAGGTCGTATCGCTGCTGCAGATGTTTCCTGGATGGTACCAGGAGGTGTTGTTATTATAGCTGTGTATCTTATCTCTGGTGAGGGAATGAGCGCAGCAAATGAGGCCTTGCTGGTGAAGATCGCGAGATATCTTGCAATATTGAATGCTATAGGGCGCGGCTGAATCGTCATGGGAGATTGGAACCTCACGCCTGAGTTGTTTTCTTCTGGACAGGTGTGAATGGCTTCGTTGCGGCTCCGTCGAGGCCTACATGTTTGTTGGAGCAGCCTGGCAGTATCATTGATTACGCTCTGGTGTGCGCCAACTTGGGAACTCGATTACGACGGCCTCAGGTGGTTGACGACAGTAATATCAAAGTTCACTTACCTGTGGAGTTGCCCGTGTTAGCTGAAGACAGGCCAGCATGGGTACGACAGGTGGTGGAGCCAGCTCCCTTCCCGAAGACGCCGCCTATCGGATGTGAGAGATTTCCATTGGATTGGAGTGAGGTTGAACGGCAAGTTTTTTATGCTCAAACCAGCGACGACTTGAGCTTGGCTTGGGAAGCGTTGCTGGCTGGACTGGAATTTGAATTGCAGGGTGTCTATGATTGTGTAGATGGAGTAAAAAGGCTTCGTCGACGTCTGGACGTGGTGGCCCTCTACTTACCCAGATGGCACGGGCCAAGTGGCGACCTCCTCTTCGACGGTTGCAGCGTGGTCCTGAGCTACGGGCTTGGACTGTTGCTCTAAAGTGGGTCGCCCATTGCAGGAGGGTCAAGGAGCACGTTGCCAAGTTGGTTGACAAGCTTCTGATTTGGCAGGACGGGAACAGAATTGTGAACGTTCTGGCCGATCACTCTGCGCTGGCGAAGGTGCTGGTGGAATTCGCTCGTTTTATGCATGGAGTTCGTGGTTGTGAAAGTACGCTGCAAGCTCTACCTGCATGGGTTTCTGAATTCTTCTTGCCGTCATCTTGCTTTGATCTATTGGCGCGTGATGACTTTGACCAGGTTTTTGCCAACATCCATGATGCTCATGATCGCCTGTTATCTGCTCATGAGAAGTGTGATCGTGCTCGATGGAAGAGGTTCGTGGATTCAGCTTTTGAGAAAGGTGCTAGTGGTGCGCATCGTTTCACTAGGTTACAGGCGACCCAGGAAATCATCGAGGCAGGCAGTGAGCAATCACCACACGAGTTGGCTGATCGTGAAATGAAAAAGTGGTTGAAGGTGTGGGCGGTGCATGAGGATAGCAAGATCCTGTTGCCGACCGACAGTGCCAGTTGGCCTTCTCTGCCATGCATCACCACGGATATGATGGTTCAGGCTATCCTCTCTTTCAAGTGGAAGACGGCAGCTGGTCCGTCGAAGCTGCAGCCCAGATCGTTGTGGTTCTTATCGCGTGAGGCTTTGGGGGCCATGGCCTCTTTCTTCACGAGGTGCGAGGACTTGCTTCTCTGGCCAATGGATCGCATTCACTCTGAGATGGCAATGATTCCGAAGGGCGGAGGCGGAACTAGACTGGTGGCTCTCATTCACACGCTGATACGTGTTTGGGCGAGAGTCCGACGACCACTTTCACGGCAATGGTTGCAGCAGTTTCCCTCGGAGATGGTCTGGGGCAATAGGAAGGGGTACTCGTCGCCGGGGTCGGCCTTCATGCATAACGCGATGGCGGAGATGTCTGACGCGATGATGGACATGTGGAAGTGCTTCGACACGGTCAAGGTCAGCAGTCTGTTTAGTGAGGCTCGGGAAGTTGGCTACCCTTTGCGACTACTTTGGCAGTTGGTGGCTCCTTACGAAATGCCTCGGGCTGTGACAGCGTTTGGGTCGGTGTCAGTCCTACACGAGGTGGGGCAAGGTATCCTGCCTGGGTGCACTCACGCCACGACTCTGCTGACGGTGTTGATGACTCGTACGTTGATTAGTGTTAAGGAGATATGTCCGACTATTCACCCTCGGGCCCTTGTGGATGATGGAACCTTGCAGTGGGTGGGGCAGGACCTGCAAGAGATGGTTGAGCTGGTCAAGGCTACTCGCATTTCCAAGAGTGGCATGAGAAGGCTCGGCCTGCTGGTTCAGCCTGTCAAGTCGGGCTGCGTGGGCACCACCCGAGAGGCGCTCAAGAAGTTTTCTCCGTGGGCCAAGGTGCTGAGGCTCACTCAGAGGAAGCAGATGCGCAACTTGGGACATGATATGGTCGGTGGCCGTGTGATTCGAACTGTAGCTAAAGGACGTCTGGATAAGCTGCAGAAGCGAATGGGGCGCGTCAAGGTGCTCCAGAAGGCTGCAGGTTCCAAAGTGGGGGCCATTTGGCGGTCTGGGCTGCTGGCAGGGGCAGCGCGCGGCAGCTCGGTCTCGGGCGCCCCCGACTGTGACCTGAAGCAGCTCAGGCGGACGGCTGGTGTTATCGCTGGGGTTCACGCCAAGGGGGTCAGTGTCACGGCCTACTTGGTGTCTCAGCGCGACCCGTACATGGGCCCGATCTTCGACGCCACGCTCAACATGGTGTATATGTACAGTTGCTTCGTGTTCGACATGGGGATGGACATGGGCAAGCTCGAGCGGGCGTGGCGTGTACTCCAAGACCTGTGGCATGGACGTGGTCCAGGCTGGCAGGGGGTTCGAGGACCGATAGCTGCGACCTGGCTGTCTTTGCGAAGAGTAGGCTGGGAGATGGCTAGTAGCACGCTGATTGTCAGTGACACGGGCATGGTGATTTCGCTGTTAAAGATGCCTCCCAAAGATGTGCGAAAGTTGCTGCGCCTTGGAGTTCAGCGGTGGCAAGGCCGAAGGATTCTGGAACATCATGCCGAACACTTGGAGGGAGGCGAATGCGAGCGGTGCATCTTACCGCTGGTGGCAAGGCAGTCACCATCAAGAATGCACAGGTCGCGGGAGCTCTTCGTTGCCTGTGGGCTGGTGGCTTCATGACTGTGCAGAAGCGGCATCAAAGAGGATGGTTGCCTACGCCACACTGCCCACATCCCGAATGTCGCAAACAATGTGCGGTTGGAGATCTTGGTCATCTGTGGTACGCATGTCAGAGTTTGCTTGGACAGAATGACGCTGGCGGTCTGCCAGCCTGGTCCGAGGAGATGGAAAAAACGCGTGATCGCCTGTCTGAGGAGGGAGTCAATGTCTTGGGGCAGGACAGTTTTCACCTGCTGAAGTGTTGCACTGGGCTCTCCCAGGCTCCTCCTGATCTCCCCCCTCCGTCCTCTGAGCCTCCCACCTTCTTCTGGGGGGACTGGGGGTCGAAGCCTGAGGGATGGGGTCCAACGGCCTTCTTCGATGGGTCTGGGATGCATAGCGCCTGGCCAGAATTCAGGCGTTGTGGATGGTCGGCTGTTCAGATGGGAGAGTTTGGACTCCCAGTTCGTGCGGCCTACGGTCCGCTCCCAGGCCCCATCCAGTCGGTTGGCCGTGCTGAAAGACACGCGCTTCTGCGGGGGCTCCAGTTGTTGCCGCGTTTAGTGCTGTCTGTCTCGGACCTCCTTGGGGCCGTGCGTGAGGGGGTTGAATGGTATCCTGAGCATGCGTCTGCCGCGGCCGCCCATGCTGATATCTGGAAGCAATTTTTTAGCGTCGCTCAGGGGAGGGATAACCCGAAGGCTCCCATGTATGAATGGGTGCCTGCTCATCTCTCTTTGGAGGAGTTTCTCGAGCGAGGACAATGGCCCGTGACTTGGTGGTTTGGCAATATGTGGGCGGATTTCTTCGCCAAGATGGGGGCCTGCTCGCATAAGGTCGCTGATTCTTTCATTGCTTACTGGTCTGATCAGCTTGCCATTAGCAGGAACAGTGCCAAATTCTTTGGCTGGGCTGCTGCCCAGCATGCGGCGCATAAGGAGGTTGTGGGTGGGCAGCTGGAGGCCCTGCGGGAGATGGACATCCCTAGGCCTGCTGCTGATGTAGCTCGTTTCCTCCGTGCGCCCCCCCTCCTCCGTTTCCAGGAACATGATTTCTGGCGAATTGATGTTTTCATGGTCTGTCGCTCCTGCCTGGCCAGGGCGAAGACGGAGGCTTCGCGTAAATGGCTCACTCAAGGCAGTGGGCGAGATTGCAACCCCTCCCCTTTGCAGCGTGAGCGTGCCCGCCTGCCGTTTGCCAAAGGTGGATTGTATGCCGCTGCGACCCCCCTGGCCAGGCCAGAGGCTGTCCAGTCTGCGATGTCTGGCGCTTTGGAGGTCCTGGGGCCCGAGGCTTCTGGGGCTGAACCCGCGTCTAGCTCTGGTGTGCCTGGGTCTGGGGATCGGTCTCGGAGCCCAGGCCTGGGGGGGGGGATGGGGTGTGTGAGTTTCACGTTTTCACTTCTCTTGGGCACGTGATGGAGCGCGCTGGCCCATATATCTTCTGCACGGCGTGCGGGTCGCATTGTGGTCAGACCATGGCCCCAAAGCTGCGTTCGGTGTGCATGCCCCCGAGCTCGGGGGTGCTGCCTGTTCGGGTGAGGAAGTCTCTTGTGAATATCCGCGATGGCCTGCACCCGAAGTCTGGTTTAAAACTCTCAGGGGCCGTCCCCCAGGAGTAATTTTGTTGGCCCCGACCCCCCCGTCGTCGTCGTGTCGCCTCCCCCCCCGCCGCGTGCGTCTTCTATTTCGGCACGTTGACGGCGCTGGAGGTCCAGGCACCGACGCACGGTCGGGTAAGTGGATGGGGCTCTCTCTATAATCATCAGGGCGCTTGCGGGTAACTTGATGGCGTCTCTATGTCTTGTATCTCTTGTATCCTCCTCCTCCTCCTCCTCGCATCCTCCTCCTCCTCCTCCTTCTCCTTCTCCACTGCCGTGAACTGCTCCCCTCTCCTGATCTGCCGCTATCCTCCCCACTCCCGGCCGTGCTGCGCCCTCGGTCCTCCCTGCGGCTCTCATTTATGATCGTTCGCCCTCACTGCCGTTCGTCAGGGCTCGACCTAAACAGTGTTTTTCGTTATCGTTCTGTGTCCGCTTTCCCTCGCTCTGTCTTCGTTCCCCCTGTTTGCTGCAAAGCGAAACCGAAACGCAGACGGCACACGGCATCGCCCAAACCCCGCTTAGGTCGAGACCTGTCGCTCGTCCTGGCGCCGAAGCCATGAGGAAACCGAAAGGTACTGATACCGCTACCCCCCAGACCTCTCCCGGGGCGCGCTCTGAACGGAATGTGGAGGCGAATCCAGCAGTGGCGACGAGGGCCTCCCAGGAGGCCCCAACAAAAAGGGACAAACGGGGGATAGGTAGGGGAATGCGTACCTTTTCCTGCTCTGAGGCCATCCCTGGGCCGTCGCTCCTCCTTCCTGGCCCCGGGCAGCCGCCAAGCCCTTCGCTCTCGCTCACTCGGTCGTAACGGTCGTCTCGCCTCCCCCCCCCCAAGACCGCTCCCCCTTCTGAAGCCTGGGCCCGTGGGCCAAAGCTGGACCACAGACCACTCCCGGCGCGCGCTCGGGCCAGGAGTTCGAAGGGAATCTAGCCATGTCTGGCTAAGGATGGCGACACAGAGCCTCCTCGAAGCCGCCCCCACAAAAAGGAACAACAGAGAACGCCCCCCCCAACCTCGAGATCGCTCCGATCCGTCACACAAAAACGCACTCGACGTCCCACACCTCTCGAGGGGTGCGTTCAGGACAGAATCTTGAGAATCTAGCCGTGGCAACGAGGGCTCTCCAGAACGAGCAGCGGCATCGGTATACCCTTTCTCGCGAGCGAAGAACATGTCCGCTTCTGCAGCCCCTCGGGCCAGGCGAATGGGCCGCGACCCCGCAGCTACGGGGCCTCCTCTCGCGGGTGCTCTGCGCGGAACGCAACCATGCGACCGCGCATCCGCGGGGTCGCGCACCCAAACATCCAGACCGTGAGGGCGCGAACACGGAGATGTTCTACGAGCGCAAAGGACGCCCCGTTGACGAGCGCTAAGGATGCCCCACGGTGTTCGGGTCACAACTCTGCCCTGCGGCGGCCGTCCGGGACGATCCAGACACGCCCGGAACGCTCTCGGAGAGACGCAGCTGCTGGAAGCAACCCCGCGGCTGGAAAGCCGTCGAGCGCCGACGAACGCGGCCGAAAGCCTTGCAGACCTCGAGCCTCTGAACGCCAGCGGCGGGGGTCAGCGACGGCATCGTCGGCCAGAGTGGCGGCGGCGTCTGCGGCGGCGGAGCGGCGGGCGCGGGCTCGCCCAGCGCGCGCAGGCACTCCGCGGCGGTGTCTGGCACGTCGAGGCCGAGGGCCAGCACGGCCGCGGCGTCGAGGGCGGCGAGGCGGCGCGCGATCCTCGGGTGGCACGCCCAGAGGTTCTCCCACTCCTCCTCCTCCTCCTCCTCCTCCTCCTCCTCCACCTCCTCCACCTCCTCCTCCACCTGCACCTTCTCCTCCACCTCCTCCTCTTCCTCCTCCTCCTCCTCTTGTTCCTCATCCTCCTCCGCCTCACCCTGTGGAAATTTGTCAAATGCTTGGTTTCCTTGGGAAAACGCACAGCACAACACCAACAGGGCCAACAGGGAACGTCACATGAAAACGCGCGCAAACCGCTGTCTGCAGCGGTATCAGCCACCTGTTCCAGTATAGCAAACCAGAGACGGTAGCGCATATCCAGAAGCATAGACAGCGTATGACACTTGGTATGTTTCGACGCAAAGCGACGGGGCTGCTGCGTCGCAGCCACGCCGATCGGGAGCGTCACCGGGCATGCGACTCAACAGAGCACCGTCGCGCCAAGAACGCGGCAAAATCTCCGGCATGCCGTTCGCTAGCGGGGCATTGCGCGCAAACCTCGCGCGCAATCAACCAGCCCAAAAGAATTGCACCGTAAATTGGCCCAATGGTGGTCCCACACATGTTACCAAAAACACCAACCGACCATTGGGGAGGGAGAGGATGCGCACGCGCAAAGGCCCCAGACTAGAACTGCAGCGCAGGCGCACGAAGTGAGGGCACGGCGCCGCTTACCACCAGCTGGGGTGGTGGAGAGGAAACGGGAACACCTAAAGCGCCGCCAGCACTGCGGGGTGCACCCCTGACCAGGCGACCCGATGCCACCTCACTGGGACTGGTGCGCCTCGCACGCCAGCGTCGCCGGTAAGGCAGCTTCTGGCGCCGCGCGGGGCACGGGCGACCAATGCCCCGGCGGCGCCTGGGTCACACCTCCCCGTGGACATCAGCACCGGCACCGCGCCTTTGGCTGGCGCGCGTATCCGATATATCTTAAAAGAAAGGCTCGGCACCAACAGCACCACAAGTCCGGAGTCCAGGGCCTACCCCTGCCTAGTACGTGGCGAGAGCGCCTGTAGACGACCAGCCACATCATTTCCCGCTCTGAGGCGGGAGCGGAATGAGGGATCGAAATCCGCGGCATTTGAGCCAAAATGGCAACGAGAGCCCCACGGGCGTCACGATATCCACAGGAGTTTCAACAACTTCGGCTGTGTCGGATATAGGCTGTTTTGCATTCTGCTTCACGTATTGTCTCCCCCTCGTGGGCTGCTGAAGCCCCGCCAGATGCCGCGGCAACTCAGCCGCCAGTACCCCCGGGATGGCAATCCCACGTGCCCTCAGGGCGCCGGTGGCCTAGAATGTACAATCTCCCATATACCCCTTTTCTCACCCGCGTGCCCCTGGGCGTGGACGGGGGGGGGGCAAATTTGAGCGTCCAGAATGGCCCTAGATGGCTCCGCGAGGGCCTCAGAGAGCCCAAGATGACCTTCAACATGGCTCAAACAGGTTGAGTTGGCTCACGCTGGTTTTCAATCTTCTGCAAGAGGCTTCAAGACACCCCCATTTCCACTGTTTGGGCAACTCGTCGGGGCATTGGTGCTGGACGGGTTGGCGGGGATACGCGGAGCGTCAAGAAATATTAGAAACGCCAACCGCCGTCGAAACTCCGCCGCCCTCACGCACCCCTTCGCTCTAGGAGCTCCAAGCAATTCGTTGGCCAGCGGCCCGTGCTTGAGATTGCCTGTAATGCAGCCAGCTGCTGCTGCTGCGTACCTCACCCATGCCGAATGTCAGCGCTGTTGGTTTTCTGTCTCTTGCCACGCACCAGACAAAGGCAACCGTCGAAAAGTTGCATGCTCGAAGTGATCCAATCCCGTCCCGCGTCGTCCCTAATCTAACGGGATCGACCTCACTGAACAAAAAAACACGTTCTGGTCGCAAGATGCTGTTCCTCCCTCATCCCCCCCTCTCCCCCCGTCGCCCCCCCGCCATCTGCCCTTCCCTGAGCCGCGTTTTTTCTCGGATTTGAAGCTGTCTTGGGCGCCAAGGGGGGCCAAGAGGGTGCTCAGCTGGATACCGAAGACGTCAAAAACCATCCAGTGCAAGACGGTGGGTGGTCACCATTCTGCCCCCTTATGGTGGGCACCCCTGGGTCGCTCCTGGGGCGTTCCTGGAAGCGCCCCCCGAGCCCTTCAGGGCTCTCTTGGGGCCCCGAGGGCCGCGATTTTCTCGGATTTGAGGTTGTTTTGGGCGCCGGGGCGGGCCCGAGAGGGAGTTGGAACCCCAAAGCGTCAAACATTTTCCGATGCAAGGCGGGGGGTGATCACCATGCTGCCCCCTTTCGGCGACCACCCCCGGGTCGCTCTTGGGGCGCTCCTGGAGGTACCTCCCAGGGCCCTTGGACCTCCCAGAGAGCCCCGCGAGCCGCGTTTTTCTCGGATTTGAAAATGTCTTGGGCGCCAAGGGGGGCTCAATAGGGTGCTATATTAGGCCACAAGACTTCAAAAACCTTCGGTGCAAGACGTAGGGGGGGGGTCACCAAGCTGCCCTCATTATGGCCATTTTGGGCCCTCCAAAAGGGCCGGCCGGGCCCTCTCGGGGCCCTGTTGGGCCCCTCTTGGGGCCCTCTTGGAGCCCCGGGGGGCCATCTGGAGCCCTTCTGAAGGCCCTCGTTGCCGAAACGTGCATGCTGCTACACATTCACTGCATGCTGCTGCACTTCCCTGGCCAAGGCAACTCGCCGAGACATCTTCTGTGGATGGGCTGGTTGGAATACTCGAAGCGTCAATCATTGTAAAACCCTTCATGCGGACGCACATGCACGTCGACTCGCGCGGAAGCATACGCCGCACGCCATCGGCGGGTGACGACGGGGACAGCACTGGCAGAGGCAGCAGTTGTGATGAATGCTTGTTGCCTCGTATGCTGAGTCACGATACCGATAACAGCGAGTGCTGCGTCTGTGAAATATGGAATACAAGCTTGCGCCCGCACCCCGCACAAGACTGGCGGCCAGTCTCGGCCAAACTACTTCACTACAACCCCTGTTGCTTAGGAGAACGGCCTGACCCCGGCCTAAATGTACGGTTTCTCCACATGGCCTGGCGGTGCCGCTGCCTCAGCCTCGACGTCCAGGCTGGCGTGCCCCCCATTCTTGTCGATCGGTGGGGCCCCTGCCAGAGCATCCTCATTCTGCTTCGTCCCACTGTTGCTGCCGTCCGCCAGTGCGCTGCCTGCGGGGCCGTCGCCCCCCTTGACCTTTGTAGAACGCGTATCCACCATGTCGAGGGCCGCGCGCATCGCAGGGCCAACGCCGCCACCAGCGGCCGCATCTTGAGGAAAACCGACGAACGCACCCGAGCCCAGGTCCCGCGGGACAACGACAATTTTCAAGCCCAACATGTCGACGTTGTTCTGGACCCTCTCTGCGATTATCATGCCCGGGGGCGTGTACAAGATGTCAGCTGGCCCCTGCGTCCCGTGCCAGATGACGGGATGCTCACCTGGTGCACGTGCAAACGAGCGCCCGTGCCCCCCAACGTTACATAGCAATGGCCCTTCGCATAATTAATCCCACCAGCCCTCTGGACGAAGGTGGTCTTCCTCACTCCGGGGCCTACGTAGTTTCAGGATGGCCCTAGAGAGCCCAAACGATGGCCCTAGAAAACCCCAAGAGAGCCTCGAGAGCCCCAAGACGGGCCTGGATGACAAACAACTAGATCGGAGGAGTGGGGAGGTAATCGCCCGTAAAAAAACTAACTCGTGAAACTTCGTCGCGAGCTAAGCCGCGAGGCGCCCAAAAGGACGCGTCAGAAAACTAGAAATTCAACTTAGCCCTGTTTCCGACAAGGCTGCGGCTCGCGTTAAATTTGCATCGTTTTCGGCCACCTTGGAGCCCTGTCGGGCCTTCCTTGGACACCCCGAAGGCGCACTGAGCCCTCTTGGGCCTTGGGGCTTGGGGCTGTCACACCCCTAGGGGCGCATTGCGGCCTCTTGGGGCTGTCTCGGCGCCCCGACGAGCCGCGAGAGAGCCGCGAAAAGGTCCAGCAGGGGAGACCCAGAGGCCCCTAAGCCCCTAAGCGGCCCGCCAATTCCCCCCCCCCTTCTTTCGGGCTGGGCGCGTCTGCCATCGCCCCCATCAACGCAACCGCCAGATTCCGCCGAGACCCGGCGGCCAAACCCGACGGGCTGGCATCCCCCAAAACGCACCCCAAGAAAAGATCCAGCGCGAGCCGCCGGGCACTCTAGCCCGTCAGTCAACGCGTAATTTTTCAACCCCCCCTCCCAGGGGGGGACTCCATTTTGTTAATCCGTCGGCCGGGCGGAGGGGGGGGGATGCGTTAAGCGCCCGCTGGTGCTGGTTGTCACCCCCTGCGCATCGACGCAGACAACAGCGGCCAGACTGGGAATCGAAGTCCCTCCCAACCCGATGCATATTAACTGGGTCGGCTGGTGGGGACGCGCGAAGCGTCAAGAGTATGTGGTACTGGTATAGGTATAGCTGCGTTCTCTCGTACAATACTCGTAGTGCGATGCTAACTACTGATTCTGTCAAGTATCACCGTCTGTGGACGTGCGATTGCTGCACCTCCGTATGCTGCCACTTCGTTGTACACATCGGTTATTGCTACGAGAACAACTACAATAGTATTACAATCGTAGCGCAATTGCTGCGGTGATAATGGCATGCGCAACGTTCGAACAGCACGCGCTGGAGGCTGGAGGTTCGGAGTTCTAAGTATGGGCATGCGGATGGCTTGTTTTCTCTAGCTGCCACCTTTGTCCACGCCTTGCACGTCGTTGCTCCTCAGCCAGTCGGAGAACTCGGACAGACCCTCCGGCGTCATGTCAACCGAAGGCGCTGTAGACAGCCTTCGACGTATCATCGATGCCCTTGGCCTTCGCAAAGGCGGCCACCGCGGCGTAGGAGACGCACGCGATAGAACGAGTCCCCTCCAAAGCGAGGCGAAGGGTGCCGAACGCGTACTTCTCGCAAGAGACATTGTCCGAGCCTTGCACGACGATGTACGACCAGACACACATCTCCTTGCCCAGCGCGG